TGCAGCTCGCTTTTAGTGACCGTCGTTGTGAGGTAAAACAGCAGTAACCTACCACCAAACTAGTCCAGAAATTTGTCGGCCTCTGGGCCAGCTTTAATCAGAAGTCAGCAAGTTGTACATGGTATTACAAGCAGCGCGTGTTTAGTCTTCGCTACGTAGTTCGGGTTGGGCATGGCACAAAGATTTTACGGCCTGTTGACATTCAAGTAGTGGGCCTATGTACGATACAGGAATTAGATTCAGCGGCAACATGCGCATATGTTTCAAGTACTTCCAGGACGGCACTTCACCACACCTCAGCCTGTCCCACCTCATTGCTGCCACCTTCAACCACCTCGTCCAACTGCTTGGAATGGAGTAACACCACCAGGCGTCCGCTGGCAAGATGCCAGGGGGTGCCCGAGAATAGTATTAGTAGAGGAACTAGAGTGTCTCTCAACGGCGGCCGAGCCGAGTCGAGCTTTGGTGATTGCCCGGGGACTGCGAGGGGAGCCCGGGCGGGTCGGGTGCGTGCGGCAATTTGCCGGTGGAAGGAATCTGCGGGTCGGGGAGGCATAGTTTTGCTGGCGAGGAGGATTCGCGCGAACAAATGGAGTATGGAGATGAGGATATACGGCTCCTAGTACTGATGCACCAGGCCGGCGGGGCTGACTATATAAAAGAGAGTGAGGCGTATTGTTGGTGCTGTGTTTCAGGCATTTTCATTGGAGATGGGCCGTGACTGGCTGTTCACGGAGTGGCAAATTGCTAACGCGCCGTCCCGGAGAGACGGGGTGAGGATGGCCGAGGAGGAGAGGCTGCGCAGAGAGGGCATCAAACTTATTGTCGAGATTGGCAGTGGCCTGAAGCTGTAAGTTCGTGAGCATCTTGTGCCTCTGAGATTTTCGGAGGGGAGAGCTGCGTGCACTGTGTGTGTTCTCAAATAATTTGCAGACAGCCGTATCCAACGCTGGCAACAGCAGCTGTGTATTTCCATCGTTTCTATATGTTCCACTCCTTTCGACAGTTCCAGAAGCATGTTGGTTTCCTTCTTCTTCGGCCGGTTTTGCCTCGTTGTCTCAGATGAGTGCCGGGCACACTGGGTTTCTGCATTCTAGCACAGTCTGATGAAGTTGAATTTTTGGTTTATCGTTCTGTTCCTGTCAGGCCGAGCA